GCCCAAGCTGTACAAGTGATGCAGAAAGTCTGTACAGTCCTCTGTTGTTGCAGCAGTGGCGACCAAACCGTGTTTGTGCTGTTGGCAGTATGCCTCAAATTGGCGTTGGTATGTTGCATAGGTTCTGCGTGTTGACGCTCCATGGAAGGAGTCTTGAATGGTCTGCTTGCTCGGTGCGCCCTCCATCGTTTTTGAATCTGGAGCGCAGTTGAAACTGCTTCTGGCTTTGTCCAATCACAGCATGTACATGTTAAATGCTAAGGATATGTTTCGACTCCGACGATATCCTCGTCCAATAGTAAACTGAGAAATTCTTTTGACCAATGTGAAGCGACAAACCTTGTCGGATGACCAATCGAGCTGCAGAACATTGTGGATATTTGTCGTGGGTGAAGTATATGTTACTATTAATGTTAATAGTACGATTTTGGAGTTTCAACCTGACTGGTGCAAAATCACTTCAACCTGGTGTTTCTCTTCAGTGCGATACGCATCAAAGTAATGACGTGGTCAACATCGCAAGTGGCGAAAGCAGCTACAAATGTCAAAGCGACTCGTTCGACTTCGTTGGGACTGTGCCAACAGTAATGGACAGTTTAAACTGGCAGTGCATATATTTATGTTGTTGAAGGTTGGGTGCTTTTCACGGGCCACGGGTCTCATGATGCATTCTCTGTGGCATGTGCGATATTGGCGTCCTTGCATGTGTGCAAGAGCAGTTGCTCGGAATACGACCATTTGAATTGCTGGCATGGAGTGACGAGACCATACAATTGCCGTCGGCGAACTAAGTAGAATGCTGTGTCGTAAAGTAGTGTTCGTAGTAACATCGATGTAGTACTGGCAGCTTCTACATTGGGGCCTCCGCGACCGTGATGATCTCAAAGCTACATTTGGCATCGTGTCATGGGTCGATTGTTGAACCTGGTCATCCTCGTCGCTTCGTACCTCCAGATTGGAACAGCAGTGCTGTCTGAACTGGGCATTGGCTACCACGTCGGTGACGCAGCTAAGATTGAGCACGATTTCCGAGCGATTCGCCAACACTTTGGTGGTGTCCGCACGTTCTTGACCCAAGTAAATCCGCAGGTCAACATCATTGACGTGGCAGCAACGGTGGGCCTGAAGATTGCGACGGGCATACCAGTCGACAAGTCTCGCTTTACCTTGGACCTTGAAGCAGTTGTTGCGGGCGCCAAGCGGCATCCCAACGCCGTCCAAGCTGTCTACATTGGCAACGAAGACTTGCTGCATGGGTATAACCCTGGTCGCCTTATCGAATTGATTCGGCGAGTCAAACGGCGCCTCATGGACGCTGGTTTGCCCTCCATTGCGGTGGGGACGGTGCAGACGGACGGATCGTTTCTGGAGCATCCGCAAGTGGCCACTGTGTGTGACGTCTTGGGGGTCAACATCCACCCGTTTTTCAGCAACGGTCAGCCGATGGCAAACTTCAACGCACGATGGCGAGTGGTGAAGGCCAAATTACCACCGTCGAAGTTACGCATCACTGAAGTGGGGTGGCCAACCGCTGGAGGTCGTTCTCCGAGTGGGCAAGAGGCCAACGAAGCCACGTCGGTGGCATTCTTCCAAGATTTCTCCAAGTGGCAAAAGGAGGAGCAGACCGAGATGCCGTTTTGGTTCATGTATCAAGACGTGCCATCCAAAGGAGGATTCGAAACTTACTTTGGCCTTGCCAGAGAAGATGGCTCGTGGAAAGTTGATTGGGATGTGCTCGCCACGGACCCCTCCCAGCGCCTGCAGGCGGCAATGGCCATTGAAGCGGCCAATGGATGCAAACTCGCGGCTGCGAATGGCCAAGTGACTTGCGGACCAGCGGATGTAGAGCCAACGATATTTACGTGGGACCTGGCCACAATCGGACTACGAACCAGTGCCAACCAGTGCTTAGCAGCGTCAACCGCGGCCAAGACTGTCCGACTCGAGCACTGCGATGGCAACAGCACCGATCAGAAATGGATCGTGCTCCGACGTGGCAGTCGGTTCATTCATGTTGACGATGGCATGTGCATGGACATATCGCTGCCGGAAGGTCAGCCCACATTGGAGATGTGCGACGGCGATCGTCATACACAAAAGATCCGTATGGTGTCTCTGCCACGACTCTGCAGCTTGGAGGAAAACGCGGATTACCCTGGTCATGACTTCAGGTCCATGCCCGCTCGGGACGCAATGTCGTGCTGCCACATTTGCCTCAAGACGACGCCATGCAAAGCATTCAGCTGGATGCATGGAACTTGTTGGTTGAAGCACATGAAAGGACCGAAGGCCGTCAAAGTCGGCATCGTTTCGGCGGCTATGAGCTGAGCCCTGACGAACTGTATTACTCTTCACGCCAATGTTCATCTATTTAATTGGTTTCTCTGGCTGTACCAGCAAGGGTCGCAGTTCCTCCGTGATGCGAACAATGTCTTTGTTGGACTGAAACTCGGACATGTTTTCCAGGTGACTACTCACTGTGCCGCGTACATGGGGGCAATGGAATACCAATCGCCAAAGGGCTCGCAAACATGCGACTTGGGAGCATTCGTTCTTGAGGGAGAGCAATGCACACAATGACGACACGATCGCGACCGAGTAGTCGGTTGCGATCAACTGGGCAGCTTGCTCACCTCCCACCTGAATAAGGTTAGCGATGGCGTTGGCGGCGTTGCATTTCGACAGGACGAAGGCATTCATGGGGTCGGGTACTCTCAGGAGCTTGGCGAGCATCGTAAGCACGGCGTCCCTGGCAGGCAATTTGTGGATGATGACGCTTGTGGAAGCCGTGAAGGCTTCAAGAACAGCAGCAAGCCAGTAGTTGACTTCCGGCGACGACAGACGCATTTGCAACAGTACTGGCAATGTCGTTTCCGCCATCGACGTGACTGTGGCTTTGTCCAGATGGAGAATACCCCACAGTCGTTGCAGGACGGATATCTTGTCGGTGGCCGTTAGCAATGTCGAAGTCAAGACGGCTATGACTTCCAGCGAGTTGTCGCACGGAATCGGCCGCCGGCTGTACTCCCCCGCGGGCATGGCCACGCCTCGATCAGTTACACATTGAGTGGCAGTTACAGCCGTGCCGAATTCATCACTTCCCCTTCTACATCCATGCTTGCCAACATTTGTCGAATGTCTTCGGGCGCGGGGGACTTTATGTTCCGGTCGCGTTGTGCTTTGCGCTACCAGCGACTTCATCCTAGCACCTGGCTACATGCAAGGCACCATCTAGTACCCCTCGCCTCACAAACCTGACACGTAGAAAAGGGATGCCCCAGGATCCGTTATATTGGTGATGGGCATCACGGCTTCCTATTCATAGGAAAGGACTAAAAATGGCACGACCAACTGCCTTCTCCTGTTCAAGTCGTTGCAGTCACAGAGTGCGCACGCATGCCGAGCATCACCCCGCGCTCGGTGGTGACAGGGCACGCGACGAATTTGTCGCAGTGGAACTCGAAGCAAAACGATTCGGCTGCAAACGTGAATGCGGCGTCGGTGGTGCTACACGTGCGCAGCCGCCTTCGCCAGTCTGGCGTGATGGGATTCGTGTCATTTCTGCAAGCGCTCAAGCAAGTGGCCAACCCTGCCCAAACTATTTCAAGGGCGCAGCTCAAGGCTACGTTATCAAATCACAACCTTCAGCTGTCGGATGTGGTGAGGCCCCTCCTATGCTGCACGGTCGCCGTGTTCACGGGGACGCGGACGTGTAGGATATTCGTGCAATTGCCATCTTTCTCGGAGAAGAAGTCAGCGGTGCCATGCCCATTTCCACTCTTCGCGACTTGATCTTCGTGCGTCAAGCGTTGAATTGCTTCATTTCTCACTCTTAGACTAGGGCAAACTGGAAGGGCGAAGGCAAGACGTTGCCACAGCCGCGTTCCGCCGCATGGACGGGCGACAACGCGGGTATGTTGCTGTGGACGAAATTCTGCGGAACCACGACGCCGGAATGCATCCCGACCTGATGTTTGGCAATCAAACAACGCCGATTCAAGTGCACAGCACGTTTGTAAAGTCGTTCACGGCACTTGTGCCGCCAACTTCGCTGGTCAACCTCGCCCAGTGGCTCGAATACTGCCAATGCCTCAGTGGGGCTACGGAAAAAGATGACTACTTCGACCTGATCTTCGCCCGCGTGTGGCACGTGTCGGTATCTTCGTCATTAAACGATCCGCCCGATCCGATCAAGGTGTCCAACAACCAAGTGCTGACCCCTCGCTCGTCCCTGACGTTGCTGGATGATTTGAGCCAGAAAAACTTGCTCGCCACGGCACTTGACTTTTCGTCCGAGTCGTTTTCATCCATGCCGTCCCCGGATATGACAGTGGCGGCACCATCCGTTTCGTCCGCACCGCTGCAAATGGACCTGAACTACACGACTACGACCACGCGAAAATCGTCGCGAAATGCCACCCTCAACAGTACCCAAACGGCTGCGTGCATGACGCACATGTACCCCGACAAGGCTGGTCTCTTACCCAAGTCCAAGGACATTGGTGTTGGGACCAAAATGATCCTGTCCCGGCTGCGTGCTGCATTGAAATGTCGGGGAGCAGCGGGCATGGTTGGGTTGAGCCGGAAGTTCCGCATCATCGACGACGACAACAATGGGTTTCTCAACCTCGTCGAATTCAAGAATGCCATGCGCGAATGTGACGTCGATTGCAGCGACGCCGATTTGCGCCAATTGTTCGACGCGTTCGATAAGGACGACAGCCAAGCAATTGACTTTAAAGAGTTCCTCAATGGAGTGCGAGAGCCCATGAACGATCGGCGGTTGGCCCTCGTCCGCCTGGCCTTCCAAAAGGTATAAAGACTGGAAAGCGAGGTATGAGGCCATCACTTTGACGTTAGATTGATCGCAATGGAGATGGCGTGCTCGAACCTAGCGACATTGTCGGCTGCTACGACGCCAGCAAACACCCTGACGTCATTGCTGGCAAGAGGACTGCAGACGCGATTTTCCGCGAATTCCTTGAAACTTTCGACGTGGATGCCAAAGATGGCAAGGTCACACCAGCCGAGTGGGAACACTACTACGACAACATCTCGGCCGTGATTGACCACGACGATTACTTTGAGCTCATGTTGCGCAATACATGGCATCTGAGTGGCGGTCAAGAGTGTGGAGCGAGCTCCTTCGAATCCACTCGTGACCGTGTCGTAGTTGAGCCAGAGTCGCCCGCCATTGTGTTTACAACCCCCAAACGATATGGAAATGCGTCGGCGGGTCTGGCGTCGTGCTTGCAAGTAGATTTGCCACAGGCACGGCAAGCATTGTCCAATCAACCTGGACAACCCTTGTTGGCCGACATGCAACACCCCAAGGAACTCCGGCGCATTGTAAAGCGGCTCAAAACAACATTGAAGGCACGCGGAGGCCGAGGTTACACTGGTCTTGTTCGCGGATTTCGCTTGATGGACTCGAATGGATCGGGAACGTTGGATTTGAACGAATTTCGAGCGGCAATGGACCGACTCCAGTTGCACATGAGCGCGAACGACCTCTTGGTCCTGTTTGACTACTTTGACGTCAACGGGAACGGTGAGTTGCTTGAGGCTTCCTGCCAACCCTCATGGACGTGTCGATGACCTAGGCTCGGTGGACGTGGCGGAATTTGTGAATGGCGTTCGTGACCCCATGAACGAACGCAGGCTGTTGTTTGTCCACATGGCGTTTGATCTCCTGGACACGGACCACAATCATGTCCTGACCGTGGAAGACGTTGTGACCAAATACGACGCTCGGAAACACCCGGACGTATTGGCCGGACGCAAGACGGATCGGGAAATCTACACGGAATTCCTCGATACGTTTGAATGGTCGTCCAAGGTACACGACGGCCAAGTCACGTTGACCGAGTGGACGGAATACTACGCCAATATCAGCGCGAGCATTGACGACGACGACTACTTTGAGCTCATGATGCGCAATGCGTGGCACATGTCAGGCGGCGAAGGGTGGACAGCCAACTCGACCAACCGCCGTGTTCTGGTCAACGAATCCCAGGTCGCCGAGATCCAAAACGACTTGGGCGTGTTGCGGTATGAACAAATCCAGGCGCAGCTCGGGAAACAAGGGTTTCACACCGTGCCAAGCAATACCAAGGTATCGTTCTATGAAGTTCTCGACCATTCGGTGCGCACCACCTCTGTCAACGTGAAGCGTCCGGGGCGCCTTCGCAACAATTGCAGCGACGGGACGGCCACCTGCCTGACGATGGCACCAGCAGCATCATCCACGGCAATCAAGCCGGGGAAGCGACTCGGTGGTGGTGGCTATCTGGCGACCGGCGTAGCAGCCTCGACCTACTCGAGCAATGCAAGTATCCCCCCCAACCAACAAACGTTTGCGACAGTCGGAGTCCAACCCATCCTGACGCGTCTCCGCGCGTACCTAAAATCCTCCCAGCATGGCTTTATTGGGCTCAGCCGAGCGTTCAAACGGATGGACTCGGACGCAAATGGTCATTTGAGTATGTCGGAATTCAAGCAAGCCATGGCTGGATTTGGCCTCGAGGACGTCGACGCGCGTATTTTATTCAACTACTTTGACGTGGACCACAACGGGACCCTAGAGATCCAAGAGTTTGTGACGGGGCTGCGGGGCCCGATGAACGCGCGCCGCCTCGGGTTTGTCCGTGAAGCGTTTGCCCGTATGGACAAGGACGGCAACGGCGTCCTCGAGCCAAGCGACATTGTAGAGGCGTACGACGCGTCCAAGCACCCCGAAGTGATCGCGGGGCGAAAAACCCCCGATCAGGTGTTTCGCGAATTTCTCGACACGTTCGATGTGGATGGCCATCACGATGCCAAGGTGACGCCCGACATGTGGGAACACTACTACGCAAACGTTAGCGCCAGCATCGACGACGACGACTACTTTGAGCTCATGATGCGCAATGCGTGGCACATCACGGGCGGCAAAGGGTGGTGCGCAAATTCGACCAACCGCCGCGTGCTCGTCAACGAGTCCCACGTTGTGGAGGTTGAAAACGACCTGGGGGTTCAGGCGTCCGAAGTGCCCGAACGACTCGAGCGCCAGATCAAGTCGTACATGAACCAACCAGGGACAATCAAAACTCTCAACTCCGTCAATGTGACGGCATGCTTGAACTACATGACAGATCTACCGAAGTCAGCGCAGCCCCCCGCTCGCCAGACGGAAGCCAAGGTTGTTCCGTTGCAAGCTATGCAACGTGCTGCCGACGCTGCCGTACGTCGCCCAAGCAATAGCTGCGGTGTGGTGACAACTTCCAACTCGAGTGTGGCGCAAATGGATGGGTTGTGGGGGGCACTGCGTCAGGTTTTGCGATCCAAGGGGCTCGCAACGATTGTTCAAGTTCGTCGAAGCATCGTGCAGTATGGCAAAACCATCGGGACTGCGCAAGTCCAAGCCGCATTAGCCGAATCTGCCCAAGTCAAGTTGCCAACGGACATTATCCAGAAATTGGTGGACGACGTGCGCCAGCGATGTCCGTTGCGAGGCGAAGATGTATCGAGCGCTCGTGCATCGACGTCGGGGTTCTGGAAGTGTCTGGCCATGCCGAAGGATGACCAACTCATCAAAATGGCCAAAAGAGTGTTTGCCCACCTCCAAGTTGAGGCCAAGGGCGACTGCACGCCATTGGTGCTGGCCAAAGCGTACGATGCCCCCAGCCATCCGTCCGTGCTTCTCGGGCTCGTGCAAGCCGAAGACGTGTTCAAGGACTTTGCCCGGTGCTTTGATGTAGACTCTTCCGGGTGCATCACGTACGACAGCATGGACGCGTATTGCAGCGATCTGTATTTGTCTGTGGGCGAGCTCCGCCACTGCCTCCAAATGCTGCGCGATGTGTTTCACGTTGACATTCCCACGACCTCGTGAAGTAAAGAGTACACACGTTCCACAAGTGTAGTTGTTGTCGACATTATATATTTGATTCCTCGATTGCAGTCACATTTGACTTGATCATCCGCGCAATGTGTGTGGCTGGCGCTGCTTCGCTCGCCGGGGCATTGCAGGCGTCGTGTCTAGATCCTGTGCAGGACTAGACCTGGTAGAAGCAGACAATTCTTGCGCCAAGCGATCGAGCGCGGTTTTGAGACGCACAGAGCTTGGAGGCGGCGGAAAACACTTGCCCATGTCGTTCACGCACACCGGAGCTGGATGACAGCGCAGTTTCTGCCTCAAATGCAGACTCAGTTGTTGCAATTCTTCGAGCACTTGCAATTCCAGTGCTTGCTCTTGTGATGGTAATGCATTGCTGGTAGATAGGTCATGTGGTTGTGCAACTTGGTCTGACTGCGACAAGTGGATTACCGAATCCACCCGATCGAGACGTGGCGTGGGAATCTGAGTGATCGGATGAATCTTGGAAGGTGATGGCGGCAAGCTCCCCGGATTAATCGCCGTGCTGTCGGTGGGCTGGACTTCGTCCTTCTCGTGTACATTGCCCGGCAGGTGGTGTGCGTACCTTTTTGCCGATAAGTCGTATGTGGGCCGTGAATCAAATATCTCTTTTGTTGCCGAAGACGCAAGAATTTGCTTGAGTGTGCACAGCTGCTGCCATCGCTCCCTCCACGAATCATGGTAGTTGTGTAGCGGCAAGTGCATGTGGTGCATGTGGGCCAACGCAGGTAAGATGTATTCGTTCTACCAAAGCCATGAAGGAATGGGGACATAGCTGTCGTCGCACCATAAAGAGGAGGAAACACCGATTTGACGACCCAGTAGTTGTGTACAGGCGGCTTGACACCATTCCAAGCGCTGCATAAAACTCTTCGTAGCTAGAGTTTGCAGATTGGACTTCGCCCAATGCATCTTGAGTGTCAAACCAGAGAGTTTGCGGCAGTGGCGCAGCTCTGTGCATGCCCTGCCACAATGCAATCAGCCTCCGCCACACACTTGACAACGTACCCGAATCTGATGAAAAATCACGTCAATATCGGCGAGGCGGAGATTCTGACAACACGTGAATGGATCGGCGCATCGGTCGGTGCGGCTGGATGTGCTGGAGTCCACGTACCACGCCGTCCCGTAGCCCTACATCTCGTAGAAAACGCAAGAATGACATGCTCGTGATGGCATCGGAATCGCCCGCACAATAGTAGCCAAACGCTGCCTAGTGATGGATGTTTAGTGCATGAAGTATGAGCCGCATCAGCCACCACACCTGCAGGATAGTGTCCAACTGCTCAATGTGGGGCAGAGTGAGCCATCTGTCTAACGAGTGAGGCGCTGGCGAAAGACTAGCTTGGGCGGGCGCCCCCTCCACGCTCTTGCACAATTTGCGCCCATTGCCCTAAAGAACGAATCGATTCCTTTGTGACGTCTGCGTTGCAATCGCGACTGCATGGGACAACACCTTGAAGAGCCGACTATTCTTGTCCATCCACAGCAGCAGCAATCGCATCTTCTGCTCTTCCGTTGGGTAATTGCGATCCCATTCCTGAGGACATGGAGCTCAGTCGAGATTCTGAAGCCGGTCTGTGTGTACCTCGCTGGAAAAAACGAGGATGGCGCACTTGGCCAGCGCCGACATGAAGTCGTGCATCTCCATTTTGGACGGATGGTGCATGCCCAATGACTTGAACAAGGTCAGGACCTGAGCCCGCGAGAGCAAATCCTATTCTCCACCAAGTATGACAACAGCGTGTGCCGACAGTGCCCAGACGTACAGGGCATATACGATAGTGCTTCAGTACTTGGAGAAACCCAGCAAACGTTAATGTGTGGTTTCGCTGAGTCGAATAGTGCAGCCCTTGAGTGCGTGGGTTGGCACGAACGACGTCGACATCCATGGCCTCCAGGAAGATCATCTGAAGCGGCATGGCATAGCTCGTCAGCACGGACGCGGCCATCGTCGCGATCGAACCGGCACAACACGAAAATCTCACTCGAAACCGATACAAAAGGAAGTTACAAACCCATTCGTTCAACTAGCGCTCTTCGTCGACATCGCCGCTGTCGGGTTTGATGGCCTTTGGCACCGTGGAGAGGCCGCGGTAGATCAAGTACATGTACCGAAGAAGGACGTAGTAACCAGGTACAGTGGCGACAAAGATGAGAGGCGTTACCCCGTGCTTCTTGAGGGCACCACGTTGGGCCAAGATCGGATACAACATCCGAACCACCACGTAGACCCAGCCAAGCCAGAGCTCTTTACCACCAGCAACCACGGCATTCGTCCAGAACAAAGCCAAGAACGTGCCTTGCCACTCGACAAAGTTGCCGACCGACCGGTCCGCGGCTAGCATCCCGTCGCTTGCATACCGATTATACTTAGTTTTGATCGTGCCTGCAGCCTTGGCCATTTGGAATTGGCGGAGGTCGGTCACTTTACCATACACTTGCATGGCAATGTTGAAGAAGAACGCACCAGCATACCCCAGCGTCACTTGCGCGGCTTCACGGGGGATGTCCCTGTCAGGAACAGGATGCACCATGTCTTTGGTAATATGCCAAAGTTCCCACTGCAAAGATTCGATTGGACAAAATCCCCTGTAGACAAGTGACTCCGACACCGACATGTTCGCGGATCGACAGCCCAAGTTGGTGCCGGGTCCTCGGTCACTTGATCAAGGAGAGCACGCTACCTTTGCTGCGGCCCTGATGAAGAGCCAAGGCATGAAGCTTCATCGAAGCACTGGTAGGTTCACTAGGACTACAGCGAGCCCACCATGCCGAGTATTTGATAGTTGTGGACGTTGCATGCACCCAGCCAAGCGTGGTAGGGTAGACCTACACCTCCGTGGCTGACGTATTTATCGTCGCGGTAGGATGCATATTCCGGTGATGTCCGCCTACGGCAGAGCGTCGAGTTGAAATTTGGTTCGTGCCTTGTGCAATACATGGTGTTGGCTCATTGAATCCAGGGGACTTTGTGGCGTATTACCAAGCCAAGCAAGGAGGATCCTTCCACTGGCTCATGGAAGCAGAAAGCGACTTGCAATTCTACTTGGCTCAATGCCCACTCTATTCAACCTCGGCGGATGTCCCTGCCGTTCTTCCCAATCTGCTACCTTGTTGTGCTGCGCTAAAGTTAGTTTGAGCAGTCCGTCCCGCACAGTCGATGAGAGCCGTCACGGAGACATTGTAGACCACCCGTTCTGGACACGGTCGATGTGACCCAAATCAACTTGTGGATGACGGTGGCGCCGAGTGACACGAGTGTCCACTACGATGCGTACGAGAATATCCTCCACGTTGTCGAAGGATCGAAGCGTGTGCGGTTGTACCCGCCGTCGGCCACGCCTGCGATTCAACCCCATGCGATCTACTCCAAGTCGTCCAACCACACGATTCTGACGCTCGAGGAATCCAAGGCGTTGCCGGACTTTGTCGAATTCAACGTGGACGCCAACAGTACATCGTCAACTACGACCCGGATACCGACGTCTCACCATGTCCGTAGCGGCCTTGTACATTCCTGAGGGATGGTGGCATCAAGTACATCCTCGTGGTAAACGGCGGGTTCAAACTGCCTTGGCCTGCATAGGTTCACTCGGCTTCGTTCACGGTGGCCGTCAATTATTGGTTTGATGGCATGCGATCTCGATTACTGGCCCAGCCCACGATGGTTCCGTACTACGCTCGAGGTTCGGTCGACTTGTCATAGCACGCACGAGAGGGCTCATGGTGTCTCAAGTTGTCGTGGAAGATCTCGTCCGGTCAGCGCGGTTGGATGCGATGAAGGATGCAGTCGACCAAAGTCGGCATCGGCTTTTGCAAGTACTGTACCCGTTACGACATGTGCATGCGAGGTCGTCTAACGCATGATTCCAAGCGAAACCTGTTGGCACAAGATCCGTACGACTCATTCCTACTCGACGTTTCTTTTCACGGCGCGGGATTGCGACTAGGACGCTAGATGCGCTTGAAACCCTCGTTGTGAATACGTCGGACCCGTCCGTTCGGGAGGATGCGCTTCTGTCTGCGCCACCCGCACTTCTGTACCCGTTGGTTCTACGAATCAGCGAACATCAGCCATCCGTGTGGTTTACACTGTTGGAAGGCTCGAGTTTGGAGCTTGTGGAATTCCTCACCGACGCTTGGGACGACCACGATGAGCTGAGTCGCAGTACAGGCGACATGGCCCCCGAAACGTATTTCACCGCAATTTTTTCACACTGTCCCTTTGACGTTCAAGACATGCTCTTGACGAAAAGAGACTTGTTTGGGAGGCAGTGTGCCCAGAACATTATGGCGTCCATGTTTGGGCTGAGATAAGATCGAACTTTTCATGGCGTTGTAGTTTTTCGAGTAAGCTCTGTGCACGCCGGCATAGCAGAGCAAACTAGCCATCGCCGTGGGCGTGTAGATTTGCCTGTCGAGATCTTGCGTGCGGGCTGTGGTTCATCGCAACACCAACGACGGCAATACAGTGCTGACCATTCAAGATTGGTACACCATGAATTTAACACGAACAGATCGATGACACCAAAAATAATGACGTCGCCATTGATGTCAATGATTCTACAAAAGACAACAACAGGTCTACAACATTTTATTTTGACGCAACGAGCTTATACAACACAAAACAGTTATTTGTTCGAAAATGTGTACTTTTTTGTTGGCCAAGCAAGTTTGGTACAGTGCACAATTTGGTTGTTCACAGTCAAAGACACAAAATTGAAACAACAAAACCAAAATTCATTCTAATATGTAGTATATGACCCCTTGCCTTGAATGACGGCGATGCAACGGGAAAAAAAGGGATTTCATGGATGCCAACAGTTTGAGAAGCAGATCATGGTCCAAGGACGCCCACTGCCGTAAGATTTCGCATTTTAGATCTTCAACACGCTCGAATTGTCGCCCATTCGCATACACTTTACGGACCAAAACTCCCCAAACGTTTTCAATGGGGTTAGGACTGGTGAGAGGGCAGGCCAG